GGAAATCACATGTGACTACCAACCACTTGAAATGTGGCAAGTCAGAATTAAGATGGGCTGTTTAAGTATAAAATACACAACACATCTTGAACACAACACAAGAAAACCTAAAACATTGGCCAGGTGCGGTGGCTCACACCTGTAATCCCAGCACTTTGGGAGGCTGAGGCAGGTGGATCACAAGGTCCGGAGTTCAAGACCAGCCTGGCCAAGATGGTGAAACCCTGTCTCTACTAAAAATACAAAATTTAGCTAGGTGTGGTGGCAGGCACCTGTAATCCCAGCTAGTCGGGAGGCTGAACTGCTTGAACCCAGGAGACAGCAGTTGCAGTGAGCTGAGATCATGCCACTGCACGCCAGCCTAAGAGCAAGACTCCATCTCAAAAAAAAAAAAAGAAAATCTAAAACATTAAAATGTATTTGATGTTATTACATGTAGAATATTTTAGATATGTTGGATTGAAAAAGAGTTTTTAAACTGTCACCTAGTTCATTTTTCTTTTAATGTGGCTACTCGAATATTTTAAATTACATATGTGGCTCACATTAAACTGATCAGCCCTGGCCTAGAGGGTGCCTGGCACATAGTAGACACTCAGTAAATATTTGTTGAATGAATAAATGCATTCTAACCATTGCTTTGAAGATTTCAACTGTTGCCCATTGTATTTCCTTTATAATGGGCTTTATTCCATTTGAAAAGAAGTTTAACTCTGGCCTTTTTTGTACAGTAACTTGGCAGCTCTCAACAGCCCTGCCCAAACCCTCAACACGAAGTTGTCGATCTTCAGGAAAACCCCAGAACTAGAAACAGATTTCTGTTAAAAAGGGGGGCTAACTACAGATTGCTTTCAGATTGAACTGTAAAGAGGCAATGGAAATGAAACGGAAGCTATAAAAAGATTCACATAGGATCCACACAAACAGTAGGAGCCCTTTTAAAAAGAATTCTATGGGTAACACACTTAGTGAAAAGAAAGCCCTTATCTAGATGGGAAGAGGAGAGAGCTGCCTTTAACTCAATGCCTGACTTCAGCAAACAAAGAAATGTCATTTCCTAAATTAAAAACTAACACCACCCCAGGGAATACCCAGATTTCAACCTTCCCACCCACAACAACAGGCCATCAGCAATCAGAATCCTCCAGACCAGGATGAAGCTTGAACTTGGCTGCAACATTACAGTGAGGTTCTGGAACAAATTCTGAGCCCTAGGCCTTGACCCCTTTCTGAAAATTTCTCCTAAGGAAACTACTTTTAAACTCGGGTCCTTTCAAGAGCTGAGACTCTTGACCTCGTGATCCACCCACCTCAGCCTCCCAAAGTGCTGGGATTACAGGCATGACCATCCTGGTCAACATGGTGAAACCCTGTCTCTACTAAAAATACAAAAAATTAGCTGGGCATGGTGGCGCGTGCCTGTAATCCCAGCTACTCAGGAGGCTGAGATAGGAGAATTGCCTGAACTCAGGAGGCGGAGGTTGCGGTGAGCCGAGATCGCGCCATTGCACTACAGTCTGGGTAACAAGAGCAAAACTTCGTCTCAAAAAAAAAAAAAAAAAAAAAAAAGAGCTGAGACTCCAGGAATCAATTCTAAATCTATTTCAAGTTTCTATACAGGTGGGGTTCCCAGGAAGGTCGTTGGAGGGGAGAAGGCCGAGGCGTGCTTGCGTCTTGAGGATTTTCCCCTTGCATGAGAGACACATCTTTCCTACTAAGATTTTATGTTCATCCGGGTTGGCTTGAGGTATATCCAATATCCTCTGACTTCCACACTGTCTTCCGATAGGGATGGCAGTTAAAAAGAACAGAGGCAAGGTCCTCACCTATCAGTGTATCCTAAACTTGACAGATCATACAGTTCACCAGGGATTAGCATCTCTAGCCCCTCCCCACCTCCACTGAATTAGCCTCCAGTGGGAGAGGCTGGAAATAGATTGTTTCAACTGGGAACCCAGACCCCATTTTTACCCAACCACCCTCCGAGGCAGGTACTAGAATTATCCCATTTTGCAGATACCAAAACTGAGACGTGGGTGGCGGTGGTTCAGTGGCTCGTCCACTGTCACGATCACACAGCTTGTGAGGGACAGAAGTGACCCACATCCAGACCTGCGAGTGCGTCCCCGGCACCAGGGTACCCAGGGGCACCCACCCCCATGGGGATCTCCGTTTTAGGGCTTGGTGCCCCCCACCCCGAATCCCACAGGGGAGCCCCCTCTCTCCCGGTCGGGGAATCCCCTCCTGCAGAAACCCGATCTTCCCGATCCTGTCGCCGGCGGGAGTCGGGGTGGCGGCCGCTGACAGCGAAAGTGAAACAAAGCTGGGCGCCGGGCGCGCACCCCCGCCAGACCCGCGCGGACCTTCCAGGCCGGACGCCCCCGCCGCATCCAGCCCCCGCCCCTCCGAGCCCGCCCGGCGGTCGCCTCTCCCCTCCCTGGGGAGAACGGGCCTCAGCCCGGCCGGGCGGGAACGAGCGCGCCCTACCCCACTCACCTCCGGCCTCCATGGAGGACGCGCGCGGCCCCCGCGGCAGGCGGCGGGCGCCTCAGCCCCCCGGGCCGCGGGCCCTCATGCCGCCCCCGCGCCTCCCGCCCCGGCCCGGCCGCCGCCGCCCGGAGAGGCCATCAGCTGCTTCCCGTCACATGGCGGTGGGCGCGGGCGGGGACGCGCGGGGGCGGGGCGCAGGGGAAACGGCGGGGGGTGGGGACGGGAACGGGATAAAAACCAGGGGGGGTGCAGCTGAGGAAAAAGATGGAAAATCGGGGGGGGCGGTACGCTGACTGGATAAAAGCCGAGGGGTTGCAGAGGGGAAACGGGGGCGGGGAAGACGCGCGAACCTGATAAAAAAATGGGGCGGGGGCGGGGGGAGCTGAGCGGAAACGGGGTGGGGCGCGAACAGGATAAAAGCCAGTGGTTGTACGGGGTCCTGAGGCGAGCCAGCGCCGGATAAAAACGGGGGAGGGAGGGTAGTGAACAGGGTTGAGGGACGCCGGGGAAAGGGGGCGATATAAACCCGAGTGCGGGTAGCCGCGCTCAGGGGAAAAGGCGGTGTTGGAGAGGGGTAGAGCAGGCTGAGGGAAAAATCCAAGCGTAGGGAGCGGGGGACTGACGGCGGTGGGGGGAGGTGAACCAAAGGGGCTGAAGCGAAGTCGAGGGGGGGGCAGGTAAAGATACGGCTTTGCGAAGCCTGATGAGGGGGAACGGGTAAAAATGGGGGCGGGAGAAATAGGGTGGAGGGAACACTGGCCGAGGAGAAACCTGGGGGAGATCTGGGCTTAGGGGAAAATGGGGAGGGAGTGGGGGTGGAAGGAAGGTGTAATAACCGGGTGCTGGGGGTCGGGGGAGGCTATGAGTAAGAATGGGGGACAGCGGCGAGGGTCAGGGGTAGGGTAAAACGACGGGGGTTGTTGAACGGCTCCGGTAATGGGAGGGGAAGTGAGGAGAAAACGGGGCGTGAGGGGGAGAGTAGGGCAGGGTGAAACCGGAGCGGGGGTGGGAACGAGGTTAAAAACGGGGCAGGCGGCGATTCGGAAGAAGACTGTCCTAGCTGCCTACTGCGACAGCTCGTCTGTCCCCGTCCCCCTGAGAAGCCTGCTCCCCTCGTCTACCTGCATGGCCTCCAGAAATGGCTGGCTTCGGTCAGACGCCCTCTTTCTGACATTCCAGGGCCAGGGTAGGAGTCATCACGGAGACTTTGCATGCCTGAAAGACCCCATTTCTTAATTGTCCTGTCCCCCGTAATGTCAGTGGCATGGGGATATCTTCCTGAGCTGAGCTCGTTGTCCCCAGAATGCCTCCCATTACCCCCCACTGGAGGGCTTCCCTTTTCTGCTCTGGGCCTAAGCTCTTCCCGCGGTTCTTAGTGTCAGCTTCATTCAAGTCACCCTTCCGCGTCTCCTTCCCTTCTCCCCGCCTTTCTTCACTTCCCTTCCAGTGCCCTCTCCATTTCCCGGTCACTGGTCGCAGAGCTCCGGATCGCAGTGGTTCCATTTTAAACTTCTTTGGTTTCTAACGCAACCTATTTTCTACGGTAACTCAGGTTCCCGGTTCCCATGTTCTTTTCCACCATGGTCCCACCATTTTACTTTTTTTTTTTTTTTTTTTTTTTTAACCCAGGCCCCTGTTTTATGAGCCCTGGGTACGTCCTCCTGTGACCCTTACTTCCTGTGTCCCGTCTGGCCTCCTGGGTTACACCCCTGTTCACTCTTCTTGGCCAGTTTTTTTTTTTTTTGGACCCGCCAGTTTCTTGATCTCCCCCTTTTCCTCTGGCTACCTGTTCTTTTCTCGCCGCCCATTTTAACTTGAGCATGCCACGTTCTCACCCTTCATTTTCTACTGGGTATTTCATTTTCCGTTTCTCAATTTTAAAAAACGGCCCAGCCCACCCCTTTCTCTGGGCCTCCACTTTCATCCCGGCACCAGTGTCGGCCTACTCCACCTCTACTCCCTTTTAATCGCTAATTTCCCACCTCCTGAAGATCCCCGTCTTATTGTCCAGCCTCCCCCTTCCCATTTTTTCCTTCTCCAATTTTCTGAGTCTCCATTTTTTGTCTCCCAATTCCTTCTATTCCTGTAGTCTTCCAGGCCTCCTTTTTATTTACACGTCATGGAAAATAAGAAAAGGGTAAGGGAGATAGGGCGCGGTGGCTCACGCCTGTAATCCCAGCACTTTGAGAGTCTGAGACAGGTGGATCACCTGAGGTGGGGAGTTCGAGATCAGCCTTGCCAACATGGCGAAACCCCGTCTCTACAAAAATTAGGTGGTGGTGGCCGGTGCCTGTAATCCCAGCTACTTAGGAGACTGAGGCAGGACAATCGCTTGAACCAGGTTGCTGTGAGCCGAGATCATGCCGTTTGCACTACAGTCTGGGCAGTAGAGCAAAACTCCGTCTCAAAAAAAAAGGGGGAGGAGGGCAGGAGGACGGGAAAGGAAGAAGAATATTGTTGACAATATTTAAAAAGCTGGTTAAAAAAAAAAAAAAACTTCGGCAAGCTCGTTTTTCCAAGTCTTTTCAGTTTATTAATCAGGTCTCAAGATCACAAAAGCACTTATTTAAAAATAGCTTTATTCCATTATCTTTTTAAAAAAATGCATATGATAACCTCAGAACTAATTTCTCCCAACCCCCACATCTTAAAATGTAAATAATGGAGAAGGAGCTGCCTGTTTTTCTTTGTAGCAGTTCCGGGCCAGTCCCAATGTGACAAGAATCAGTTGGCACTTATTGCATCATAATACATTTTACCTAGTAAGGATATTTTCTAAGTCTCAGTGCATGGGTTATTGCAATTTTCCATCCTGTGTTTTCCTGTAGCAATTACAGGCCTTGTACGTGCTTGTGAGAATTGGAGCTAATATCTAAGCCACAGAATTGTGGAGCCCCCTCCTCTGGGGTCCGCACCAGGTTTTGAGAAAAAAGTCAGTTGCAATGGACCTTGAAGTGTCTATCTTCCTGGTTCTCATAAATAGATCTCAAGGTCTCTAAGTTAACAATACATGCAGATAAGATTTTTTTAAAAGCACAGTGTAACAACTTGGACTTTACCGCACCAACTTCCACATGCTTGTGGATTTGGGCATGGATCGTCTTAAAAGCAGTCCTAATTCTTCAAAGATCCTTAAAACTTGAAGACCTGGGCTCTATCTGACCCAGGATATTAGGGTACACACAGGACTCAGATATGTGACAGCACTCACAGCTCAGCTGGTTCAAGGTTATAGTGTTCAGCACCAGCACCTTGCAGCTCCCATTTGGTAGTGGAAAAACCCTCAAATACTTCCTATCAACAGATGTGCAAGAGAAGAGGAAGTTGTGGAAAATATCCCAGTGATGTTACAAAACATCCTCTGTGTTCCCAGCTAGGATTTGTTCCCCCCCAACAGTTTTTGTGTTTTCTTTTTTTAATCTTGTGGCCTCTGAATAGTAGACTCTTCAGTTCTGGAATTTGATTGCCAACGACCCCAAAGGAGAGACTCAGCATTCAGAGACTTTAGAAGCCAGCTGAGTATCATTCTAAAATGATACTAATTTACACTTTTGAGAATGGTCAAGTACGTGGGGTACTTTGCAACAAAAGACAAAAAGCTAGTAGAACTGCAGTTCACAGCTATTCCTGGGAGGTAAACATTGCAGCCCACTCCTGAGCTCCCCAGTGTCCTGAGCAGGGGACAGGGCATCCTTCTAGTGATTTGCTTAGTTCAGTCCTTTCATCCAAGAAAACAGACCTTCTGCAACCACACCTGCAGGGTTACTTCAGACAACCCGCTTCTCATTTTAGAGTCCCAGTTCTTAGAACTGGAGAAAGGAAGTTTCCCTTTAAGCCCTAGTCTTGCCCACTAGAGCAGATACGCAACATTAAAGAGTGCTAATTCAAGTCAGATTTCCATATTTAGCAAACATCCATTGCACCCTTATAAGGTCCCTGACTTTAAGAAATTTAGATGAAATCAGAAAACATAAATCTCAAAACGATGCAAGAATCTACTGGAAACATCAGCAGCCTAAACTCATCACATGTTATTTTCATTCCAAAGTTAGTGTTATTGATCAGTGTACCCTCAGAATATCCTCAAGAAGCAGGAAGGAAACAAGTTTTCCTCTTCCCATTTCCAAGATAAACAGTCCAGATGAGCTGGTTTGCCCAAGCAGTTCTTATCACCAGATACTCCATTATGAAATGTGTCTCCTGCCTTCTTCCAAAGCAACAGGAGAAATGAAGCATAGGAAAGTCTGCAAGCCAATAGTGTTATCACCTAGGAGGCTTGTATATAAATATGAAGCTTGGCAAAATGTGAGGTTATAATGAAAAGCACTTCCCATTACCAGTTCCCTAACTCTTTGTAAAACAATTCTATCTCCAGGGAAATAAAAATGGTTAAGACAGTGCTCCATTCAGTCCCTTCATCCAAGAAAACAGACTTTCCCCAACCACACCTGCAGGGTTACTTCAGACAACCAGCTCTCATTTCAGAGTCCCAGTTCCTAGAACTGGAGAAAGGAAGTTCCCCTTTAAGCCCTAGGTCTTCCTCACTAGAGCAGATTCGCAACATTAAAGAGTGCAAATTCAAGTCAGATTTTCGTATTTAGCAGGTGATCTTACAAAGACATTTTTCAATAAATGGAAGGAAAGACGTGTGTGCTTGGTTTTGTTTTTTGCTGAGGCCCAAACATTGCTAGTGCAAGCCCCCCGCCAGGGGTGCAGGTCGAGTCAAAGCTGAATGAAGAGCTCATCTTCAATGTAGCTTTTCAAGCTTTCAGAACAAGAAACAATAGATGAGGAATTTCCTCACCTATTTTTACAGGTGAGGAAATCGAGGCCAAGAGAGGTAAAGAATCATGCCCTAGCCCTTGAAAGAAGGAAGCAGCAGAGCCCAGATTCAACTTCAGGGCTCCTGAAGCCTAAACCAACTCCAAAGCCTAAACCAAACTGCCTTCCTCTGATTGGTTATGGTAGCTGAAACTTAACCTGTTCCAGTGATCAACTGTTTGCCTGGTTTCTTGGTCATGAGCTCACCTAGGCAGTGATAAAGGAAGTTTCCCTATCACCCCCTTTTGTGCTGGGGCAAGCTGGCTACAAACCTTTAATAGTGACAAAGGAAGACCGGGCACAGTGGACACACCTGTAATCCCAGCACTTTGGGAGGCAGAGGCAGGCAGATCACAAGGTCAGGAGTTTAAGACCAGCCTGGCCAACACAGTGAAACCCCGTCTCTACTTAAAAATGCAAATACATTAGCAGAGCATGGTGGTGCGCACCTGTCGTCCCAGCTACTCAGGAGACTGAGGCAGGAAAATCATTGAACCCAGGAGGCGGAGATTGTAGGTGAGCCAAGATCACGCCACTGCACTCCAGCCTGGGCAAAAGAGCGAGACTTCGTCTCAAAACAAAAAAGAAAAGAAAAGAAAAACAATAGTGGCAAAAGACACCAAGACTCAGTGCTTCCCTTAACCCTGCTCCCTCCAAATCAGCATCCGTCACAGTAGATCAACCTGGATAAAGCCAGGATTCACAGCAGAAAGGGCACCTCAGACAGCAAAGCAGCCTTCCTTCTCAAAGCTTTTAAACATCGTTGGGAATACTTAGAGCAAACCAAACCAATGTTTTTCAATAAATGGAAGGAAAGATGTGTGTGCTTGGTTTTGCTTTTTGCTGAGACCCAAACATTGCTCGTGCAAGCCCCCCGTCAGGGGTGCAGATCAGGTCAAAGCTGAATGAAGAGCTCATCTCCAATGTAGCTTTCCGAGCTTTCAGAACGAGACAACCGTGGAGCATCCTCTTCTTCACACTGGTCTGTCTTCTTCTTGAACATCACTTTGCTCCTCACTGCCGTCATCTGCACAGGGGGAAATACACCCAGTGCTTGGTAATCAGAGTGTGATTCTGTTTCCACCATCAGTCATCCATCAGTGATTTCTAGTCCTTTCCTGGTGAGCTGCAGAATGGGATCTCATGGAGAAGAAGGTGGGGCAAGGTGTGTTTTCCCCTTCTCACCTGTCTTCTGCATTCATAACCTCTAGGCATGCTTGATACTGACCACCCTTCATGTCCTCAGCTCAGGCCCCTGCCCTCACCTGAAACACTCCCTCTTCTTTCTGCTTATTCCAACTCAACTATCCTTAAAGCCTTGCTTCATGTCCATCTCTTCCATAAAGCTTCCCCTGACCAGTGCACCCCTCCAGGCTCTAATCTTTGTCTGAGGTCCCATAATTTTTGGTGCAGTGGCACAATCTCAGTTCACTGTAGCCTCAACTTCCCAAGCTCAGGTGATTCTCCGACCTCAGCCTCCCAAGTAGCTGGGACTACAGATGCATGCCACCACACCCAGCTAATTCTTTGTATTCTTAGTAGAGACGGCTTTTGCCATGTTGCCCAGGCTGGTTTCGAACTCCTGGGCTCCAGCGATCTGCCCCTTTGGCCTCCCAAAATGCTGGGATTATAAGCATGAATCACTGCACCTATAATTTTTTTTTTTTTTTTTTTTTTTTTGAGACAGAGTTTCACTCTTGTTGCCCAGGCTGGAGTGCAATGGTGCGATCTTGGCTCACCACAACCTCTGCCTCCTGAGTTCAAGTGATTCTCCTGCCTCAGCCTCCCAAGTAGCTAGGATTACAGACGTGCCACCAGGCCTGGCTAATTTTGTATTTTTAGTGGAGACAGGGTTTCTCCATGTTGATCAGGTTGGTCTCGAACTCCTGACCTCAGGTGATCCGCCTGCCTCAGCCTCCCAAAGTGCTAGGATTACAGGCGTGAGCCACCATGCCCAGCAGCACCTATAATTTTTAAATGTATGGTCCATCAGGCAATTAATCAAATATCTTCCAGCAACAGCTTCTCTAGCCGTTCTCTCAAAGTGTTGGTTCAATCTTGCCCGTTTCCATTTCCCCTGCGGGTTTTCGTTTGTTCACCTGAATTGGTCTTGTAAAGCTCCCTGTATGGAGGGAGACACTACCTATCTCACTTTTCTTCTCCCACAATAGCAATATTATGCCTACCCTGGAGCAGGACCTTGATAAATGTTTGTCGGTTTTTGGGTTTGTAGTTGATAGTAGTCTCAGGTTCTAGACTCAAGTTTAACTGTCTTCCCCAGCCTCACCCCTTAGAGATTTCCTATTGGGAAGCTCACTGCAGCAGTTCAGAGGTTTGTGGGATTTTTTTTTTGAGACAGGTTTCCACTGCTGCCCAGACTAGAGTGTGGTGGCACAATCATAGCTCCCTGCAGCCTGGACCTCCTACACTCAAGCGATCCTCCAGCCTCAGCTCCCAAGTAGCTGGGATCACAGATGCACATCACCAAGCCCTGCTAATTTTTCTTTCTTTCTCTTTTTTTAGAGACAGAGTATCACTATGTTGCTCAAACTTATGGGCTCAAGCAATCTTCCTGCCTTGACCTCTGAAAGCTCTGGGGTTACAGGTTTGAGCCACCATGCCTAGCTCAGAGGTTTTTTTGTTTTCTGTTTATTTGGGTTTTTTTGTTTTGTTTTTTTGGTTCTTTTTTTTGAGACGGAGTTTTGCTCTTGTTACCCAGGCTGGAGTGCAATGGTGCAATCTCGGCTCACTGCAACCTCCGCCTCATGGGTTCAGGCAATTCTCCTGCCTCAGCCTCCTGAGTAGCTGGGATTACAGGCATGCGCCACCGTGCCCAGCTAATTTTTTTTTGTATTTTTAGTAGAGACGGGGTTTCACCATGTTGACCAGGATGGTCTCGATCTGTTGACCTCATGATCCACCCGCCTCGGCCTCCCAAAGTGCTGGGATTACAGGCGTGAGCCACCGCGCCCAGCCTCTGTTTATTTGTTTAAGGAAAGAGCTTACCTTGTAGATCCTGGAATCCATTTCCCATCTGTTCTATGTTCCCATTCACCAAGGCGGTCACTCTATGAATGTGGTTCTGCTTGGGTATTTCCTTTGGGAACTCCTCTCTCTCCTGTGCTCCTTCCTCCTCTTCTGCTGCAGCATCTTCCTCCTCCTCCTCCTCCTCTTCCTCTTCTGAATCCACCAAAACCATGACATCATCCATGTTTTGGCCCCTAATTACCAAATGGGGAAGAATAAGATTTCCTATTTTTCCCAACTTCAGGCCTCACTGAATAGGAAACACTAGATTCTTTGCAACCCCATTAGCAATATGGAAACTTCCTCATGCACTCAGCTGGGTGAAGTCATGAGACGATGGTGTGGTTGTAACCGCAGAGAGAGATGCTGCCACAAATTGCTTCAGATGATCTTATCTCATGCTGGGTTTGTTTTATTACTCCTTCCCTGCTCCTCAGGCAGGTGACCATGTCTCAGGCATCTACCAGTTTCATGTCCCCTTACAGCAGGTGGACAAATGGTTTTCCTTTTCTGAAATGCCCTCATTCTGCTCTATTTACCGAAATCTCTCCTCCTCCTCATTATGGAAGACCCAGGTAAACTCCTCTCCCTCCCCCTAAAGGCCGGAATTAATGATTGCATTTGGAGTTCATGCCCAGCGCTGTAGCAATTGCTCTGTAGTTTATCTACCACCAGCTCACTAACTCTGACTACCCAGCCAGACTATGCATTCTTTTTCTTTTCTTTTTTTTTTTTTTTTTAAATGAAACCTTGCTCTGTTGCCCAGGCTGGAGTGCAGTGGCACGATCACAGCTCACCGCAACCTCCATCTCCCGTTTAAGTGATTCTCCTGCCTCAGCCTCCCGAATAGCTGGGATTACAGGTGCCACCATGCCCGGCTAACTTTTTGTGTTTTTAATAGAAATGGGGTTTCACCATGTTGGCCAGGCTGGTCTCAAATACCTGACCTCAAGTGATCTGCCCACCTCAACTTCCCAAAGTGCTAGAATTATAAGCATGAGCCACAGCACCCAGCCTGGACTGTGCATTTCTTAAGGAAGAAAGAATGCATGCCACAGGTCAGTCGCCTGCCCGAGGAGCTGTTTTACATTTTCATTTAATCTTCACAAACCCTCTCAGTGAAACAGATCAGGACACTCGGGCTCAGAGAGGGTCAGGGATTTTCCATGGGTACAGGCCTTGGGAATGGCACAGCTACCATCTGGAGTCAGGTCCACTCATCCCAATGCCTTTTCCCACTATACCACACTGACATCTCCTGTGAGAAATAAGCCCAGGGAATGACAGGCTTATTGAGAGAATGGCCCTCCAATACAGGCGAGTAAAGGTAATGTTTTGCTACAAAAGATGGTCCCAGAACAATAATATCCTGTCATTATGAATAGGTAAAGAACTGTTTTTCCATAGGATCACAGAAAAGAGTACTTTGCTCCCACCTAGAATCTCCTTAGGAAATGAAATACACAAGTTCCATTTGATTCCTTTGCCCCTACTGGGGTTTCCCTTTGGGAGGGGCTTCTGGGTATGCTCAGAGTAGTCTTCCAAAACACCGTAAAACTGGCCAGGCATGGTGGCTCATGCCTGTAATCCCAGCACTTTAGGAGGCCAAGGAAGGTGGATCACTTGAGGCCAGGAGTTCGAGACTAGCCTGGCCAACATGGTAAAACCCCGTCTCTACTAAAAATACAAAAATTAGCCATGTGTGGTGACGCGCACCTGTAATCCCAGCTATTCAGGAGGCTGAGGGAGGAGAATGGCCTCAACCTGGGAGGTGGGGGTTGTAGTGAGCCAAGGTTGTGCCACTACACTCCAGCCTGGGCAACAGAGTGAGACTCTGTCTCAAAAATTACAAAAAGCCAAAACAAAACTATAAGACCATGACTGAAGATTCTTCCTTTTAGCTCTTTTCAGAAAATTAAATAAAACAAACGCATGAATGACTGGCTCAAAATATACACATTGTCTTTCTGTCTCAATGATAGACCTGCAATGTATCCAGCCCTGAGGTTTGGTATTGTAAAAGAACACTGACTTTGGAATCGATTAGACCTGGACCTGAAGGAAGGCACTGCTGCTTCCTTCCAGAATGAGCTTACAGAAATTACTTCACTGAGCCTCCATCCCCTTATCCGGAAAATGGAGATGTCACCACCACCCCGAGGAGGTGATGAAACCCCTAGACCCGTGTGCAGCACTTCGTAGGTCCTCAATGGTAGTGGCTATTATTGTTCTTATGAAGAAAAGGGAGCAAAACAGGAGTGAAGACAGATCCAAAAATGGGTTTTTGATTTAAGTGTAAGGAGCACTCACCTGAAAGTGTTTCCTACTGAAGAAAGAAAGGAAAAACCATTAATATCCAGTAACATCCACTTCGACCTCACAGGTTCTTAAGCAGGCTAACATTTACTAGAGGAGCAAATAAGAAAACTGACTCAATATGACAGGCGACAGGTGTCCTGGGATGGTACTAGGTGACATTACTGTACATCTTGACCCAACGAAGGAGCCCAGAATATGGAACTTCAGGTGGAAGCATGACAGGGGCCACCCTTCTCCAACCCCACACCTTTTCCACAAGCCTGGAAGGGAAGCTAAAGGACCCAAGAAGCCCTTACCTTTCCAGCAGAGCACAGGGCTGTAATACAACATAAGCCCTGAGATAGTGGCCAGTCCCAGTAGCAGGAGGCTCACAATGGTTCCCACAATGCCCCCGATGTTTAAAGGTTCTGCAAAGACAAATCACACCATTGATTCTTCCACCAGATATGTGGACAATTAGAACAACACTGCCCTTTCTCTGCATGGAGTCAGTTCTTGTCTTGATTCCTGACCTTGGGTAAGGCTTATGACTTGTCTGTAATGCCAGATAAATATTTTATCACCCAACCTCAGACAGAGTTTGTGGGGATCAGATGGAGCAGGGAATGTGAAAAAAACAATGGAAAGTTAAAATCTCTGTGTCTACCAAACCCTGAGACTATTTATAAGGCCATGGTAAGTAAGAGTGTAAGAGTTATCAATGCCGTGATAAACAGAGTGATCAACGGAACAGAACAGAGACTGCAGAACAGGTGCACATGCAAACATACTTTATGTATGACAGGGTAGTGAGCAAAGGAAGCACGTTTAAGAAATGGTACTAGAACAAATGGTGATTCACATTGGGGAACAAAAAGGAAAGAAACGGCTGGGGTTTGGGACCCTCTCGCTGGACGAGATTCCCGGGCTCGCGTTCAGTTCACAACAGCTGGGCACGGTGGTTCATGCCTGTAATCCCAGCACTTTGGGAGGCCGAGGCAGGCAGATCACCTGAGGTCAGGAGTTCAAGATCAGCCGGGCCAACATGGTGACATCCCATTTCTACTAAAAATACAAACATTAGCTGGCTGTGGTGGCGCACACCTGTAATCCCAGCCACTCAGGAAGCTGACACATGAGAACAGCTTGAATCTGGGAGGTGGAGGTTGCAGTGAGCCAATATCGTGCCACTGCACTCCAGCCTGAGTAAGAGTGAAACTCTGCAAAAGAGAGAAAAGAGAAAAAGAGAGAGAGAGAGAAACTTGAGACTACATATGTATGGTAACAATTTTGTGTGTTTGTGTTTTGTTTTTTAGTTTTTGCTTTTTGGTTGTTTTTGTTTTGTTTTGAGATGGAGTTTCACTGTTGTTGCCCAGGCTGAAGTGCAATAGGGTGATCTCGCCTCACCACAACCTCTGCCTCCCAGGTTCAAGCGATTCTCCTGCCTCAGCCTCTTGCGTAGCTGAGATTACAGGCACACGTCATCACACCCGGCTAATTTTTGTATTTTTAGTAGACATGGGGTGTTACCATGTTGGCCAGGCTAATCTTGAACTCCTGACCATCTTGGTCAGGCTGGTCTTGAACTCCTGACTTTATGATCTGTCCGGCTCAGCCTTCCAAAGTGCTAGGATTACAGGCGTGAGCCACTGCAACCAGCCTTGTCTTTTTTTAAAAGAGCAGTTTTGTTTTGTTTTGTTTTGTTTTGTTTGGTGGGGGCGGTTTTCTTTTGAGACAGGGTCTTATTCTGTCTCCCAGGCTAATGCAATGGCACAATCTCAGCTCACTGCAGCCTTTACTTCCAGGTCTCAAGTGGTCCTTCCACCTCAGCCTTCCCAGTAGCTGGGACTACACATGCGTGCCACCGGACCTGGCTAATTTTTGTATTTTTTGCAGAGACAGGATTTCCCCATATTGCCCAGGCAAGCCACAGGCAAGGCTGATCTTGAACTCCTGAACTCTGCCTGCCTCTGCCTCCCAAAGTGCTAGGACTACAGAAACGAACCTCTGTACCTGGCCAAGAACAGTTTTAAGTTCACAGCAAAATTGAGCAGAAAGTACAGAGAGTTCCCAGTGTACTCCCTGCTCCCACACACGCACAGCCTCCCCCATCATCCACATCCCCACCAGAGTGGTGCAGTTGTTACAATAGACAAACCTGCACTGACATCATTATCACTCAAAATCTAGTTTGCACTAGGGTTCATTCCTGATGTTCAACACTCCACAGGTTTAGACAAATGTATGACATGTATACACCACTATGATATCATACAGCATATTTTCACCGACCTACAAATCCACTGTGCTCTGCCTATTCCAACCCCTGCCCCCTCACCAACCCCTGGGAGCCACTGATCTTTTATTATCTCCATAGTTTTGCCTTTTCCAGAATGTCATATAATTGGAATCGTGCTGTTATTTATCCACAAAAAAATTTTTAAAATTCAAAACTAACAACATATTATTAAGAAATATGAACACACGGCCAGGCACGTTGGCTCATGTTCATAAAAAATTACACACAAAATAAGAAGAAAAGAAAACGAAAGAGAGAAAGAAGATGGAAGGAAGGAATGGGGGAGGAAGGGAAATAAAAGAGAAAAGGAAAGGAAAGAAAAAAGAGGAAGGCAGGAAAGGAAAAAGGGAGAAGAGAAGAGGAAAGGGAAAAGGGAAGGGAAGAAGGAAGGAGACCAGGTGTGGTCGCTCATGGCTGCAATCGCAACACTTTGGGAGGTTGAGATGGGAGGATCACTTGACGCCAGGAGTTTAAGACCAACCTGGTCAACATAGAAAGACCCCATCTCTATAAAAAATAAAACAAAAAGAGAAAAGTATGGACATATATGATAAAAAGTATTTTTAAAATAAAACAAAAAATTCAGGATCATGGTTACCTTTCAAGAGAGGCCCAGGATGAGACTAGCCCTACAGGGAGGGTGGCCAAGTTAAAATTCAGTATGCCCAGTGAAATTCGGATTTCAGATAAATGATGAATAGTTTTTTAGTGTGAGTATGTCCCATGAAGTATTTGGGACATACTTATACTAAAAAAAAAAAAAAAAGTATTTTTTATTTTTCTAAATTCAAATTTAAGTGGGCATCCTGTTTTTAAAGTTCTTTTGTTATTTTCTTTTTTTTCAAGATGGAGACTTGCTCTGTTGCACAGGCTGGAGTAAAATGGCGTGATCATGGCTCACTGCAACCTTCGCCTCCTAGGTTCAAGTGATTCTCCTGCCTCAGCCTCCTAAGTAGCTGGGATTACAGGCACCTGCCACCATGCCCAGGTAATGGTCTCGAACTCCCAACTTCAGGTGATCTGCTCATCTCAGCCTCCCAGGTAATTCTGTATTTTTAGTAGAGATGGGGTTTTATCATGTTGGCCAGGCTGGTCTTGAACTCTTGGCCTCAAGTGATCCAGCTGCCTCGGATTCCCAAAGTGCTGGGATTACAGGCCTGAGCAAGCACCCAGCCCTACTGTTGTTTTCTAAACCTGGTCCTGTGACAAACAAGTAACCTAATGCATGTTCATACTGTTCTGTATCCTAAATGGGATGAGTTTCTTAGGTGTTCATTTTGCTCTTATGCTTCACAACTGACATATACTAGATATTAATCCTTTGGTGTGTACAGGTAGTGTGTAATTATTGTTCCCTGTGCAAATGTTAGTCAGTAGGTTTGGATAGTAATTTCTTCCAGATACCTCGTCAAGCCATAAGCAAGCAGATATGCCTTCTCCCAGTTGGCAGTGACCCACTTGTAGGGAGGCACCAGGCTGTCCCCAGGCTGGTGCTGGGTGCTCTGAAGCTCTGAACCCTCCTCCTTCAGGCCCAGTTTCATCACTCACCTTTTACACTCAACCAGATGTCCACCTCCCTCACCCCAACGGGGTTGTCAGCCCGGCAGACATAGTAGCCCTCATCCAGGTCCTGGGAGCAGTTATGGATGGTGAGGGTGGAGTTCTGGCCATCCTGGGTAATGAGATGGTGGCTGCTGGGCTGGGTGATCACCTCGGGCTGGGTTAGGTTCCTCAGCCACAGGATCTTGGCAGGGGGGTAGGCCCCAGACACCTGGCAGGTGAGCGTCACATTGCCCCCCACGAAGCAAGTCTTCATGGGCTCAGAGAGAACGGAGGGACTCCCTGGTGATAAGAAGGTAAAGAAAGACAAATGCTTAAAGAGATCCAAATCATGGCCTGAGATCTTCAAGAAAATTACAGTAGTCCTTTTCTGAAATGTAGTTTTTGCTCTGTTGCCCAGGCTGGAGTGCAGTGGCGCAATCTGAGCTCATTGCAACCTCTGCCTCCCTCCCGGGTTCCAGCAATTCTCCTGCCTCAGCTTCCTGAGTAGCTGGGAATACAGGCATGTGCCACCACATCTGGCTAATTTTTCTATTTTTAGTAGAGATAGGGCTTCACCATGTTGCCCAGGCTGGTCTCAAACTCCCAACCTCCGGTGATCTGCCCATCTCAGACTCCCAAAGTGCTGGGATTACAGACCTGAGCCACCGCGATCGGCCCCAGTCCACTTTATCCATGATTTCACTTTCTGAGGTTTCAGTTACCACCGTCAACTATAGTCCAAAAATATTAAATGGAAAATTCCACAAACAAACAATTTTTTTTTTTTTGAGATAGAGTCTCACTCTATCACCCAGGCCGGAGGGCAGTGTCACAATCTTGGCTCACTGCAACCTCTGCCTCCCGGGTTCAGGCGATTCTCCTGCCTCAGCCTTCTGAGTAGCTGGGATTACAGGCGCCTGCCACCCTGCCCGGCTAATTTTTGTATTTTTATTAGAGACAGGGTTTCACCATATTGGCCAGGCTAGTCTCGAACTTCTGACCTCAGGTGATCCACTTGCCTCGGCCTCCCAAAGTGCTGGGATTACACTGCACTGATTCATAAATTTTTATTTTTTCTTTTCTTGCAGTACTTTTTAGTATATTCAGTTTCCTAAGTTTCAGTTGCACACTCTTCTGGGTGTGTGATGAAATCTCATACCATCCCGCATGAGCCTTTATTTATCACAAGAAGGCTGAGTCGACACTTTGAGAGAGGGCCCACATTCACATAACTCTTATGACAGTATATTGTTATACTTGCCTATTTTTTTATTAGTTACTATTGTTAATCTCTTATTGTGCCTAATGTATAAATTAACCTTATAAGTATTTATGTATAGGGGAAAGCATGGTATATATAGGGTTCAGTGCTACCGATGGTTTCAGGCACCCGCTGGGGATCCTGGAGCATATCCCTTGTGGATAAGGGAGGAACACGGTATTTCCTTCCTAATGAAGCAACTCCAGAAATTTCTTTTTTTTTTTTTTTTTAATTGAAAGCCGAGATCACGCCATTGCACTCCAGCCTGGGTAACAAGAGTGAAACTCCATCTCAAAAAAAAAGAAAAAAAAAAAAAAAAGAGTGCAGTGCCACAATCTTGGCTCACTGCAACCTCCACCTCCCAGGTTCAAGCAATTCTCGTGCCTCAGCCTCCCTAGTAGCTGGGATTACAGGCGCCCACCACCATACCCAGCTAATTTTTGTATTTTTAGCAGAAACAGCGATTCACCATGTTGGTCGGGCTGGTCTCAAACTCCTGACCTCAAATGATCCGTCCAACTTGGCCTTCGAAAGTGCTGGGATTACAGGCATGAGCCACTGTGCCTGGCCAACTCCAGAAATTTCTCTACTATACTTGGTCTTACCTAATAATAAATCTAACATTACTAAGCAGTTACTGTGGGCACAGCACTGTTAACGCATATTAACCCAATCCATTCTCACAATAACCCTGTTATTATACCCATTTTCCAGATAAGGAAACTGAGGCACAGGGAAAGTTAAGTAACTTGCTCAATGCTGCACAACTAAATAGGCAATGCAGCTAGGATTCAGAGTGACCAACTGTCCCCATCTGCCCAGGACCTGGAGTTTTCCCAGGATGTGGGGTTTTCAGTCCTAAAACCAGGGAAGTTCTGGGCAAACCAGGATAAACTGGTTACTGTATGTAAGACTGAAATCCAAGCAATGAGGCTTTTTGTAGTCCACAAGCTTTCCTTCTATGCTACACTTCTATCTGTAAAAACTGTACTGATCCTATAAAAATAGACAAACATCTGACAAGGATTTCAAGGGGACAAGAGGGCAGCTGTATTCGTTTCCAAGATGATGACAAACTCAGTGGCTTAAAGCAAACACATTTATTCTCTTACAGTTCTGGATGCCAGGAGTCTGAAATGATCTTACAAGGCTAATATCAAGGTGTTGGCAGAGCTGGTTCCTTCTGGAGGCTCTAGAACAAGCTTGTCCCACCCGCAGCCTGCAGGCCAAATTCGGCCCAGGATGGCTTTGAATGTGAGGACGTTTTTGCTCATCTGTGGTGGTGGATATCTCGAAAATTATGCACGGACCCTTTTATTTTCGCTCATCAGCTACTATTAGTGTTAGCGTTTATGCGAAATCTACTCCCATGATGAAATCACCTACCACCAGGTCCCTCCCACAACACTGAGAGTTACAATTCAACATGAGATTTGGGTGGGGACACAGAGCCAAACCAGATCACAGAATTTCGCTGCTTTGCCTAGGCTGGTCTCAAACACCTGGGCCCAAGCAATCTGCCTGTCCTCAGCCTCCTAAAATGCTGGGATACAGGCATGAGGTACCATGCCTGATGATCCTGGCACTTCTGATCTCCTTTCCCTTTTTTTTCCCTTTTCGAGACAAGGTTTTGCTCTGTCACACAGGCCTGGAGCGCAGTGGCACAATATCGGCTCACTGCAGCCTCATCCTCCAAGGCGCAAGCGATACTCTCTTTGCACACTACCAAGCCCAGCTACCTTATTTATTTTTTATTTTTTGTACAAACAAGGTCTGTGTTTCCCAGGCTGGTCTCGAATTCCTAGCCTCAAGCTATCCTCCTGCCTCAGACTCCCAAAGTGCCACCATGCCCTGCCTTCTCTCTTCTTACAAAGAAAGACACCAGTCAATGGATTACAGCCCACTTTAATCCAGTATGACCTTATCTTATCTTGATTCCATCTGCAAAGACTGTTTCTGAATGAGGTCATATCCACAGATATCAGGGTTTGGACTTGAACATATCTGTTGGGGAGACACAACTGAACCTCAGCCTCCATCTAGCTTCATTGGTATTTTACACATGACACCCTGGCCACACTGGTCTTCTCTTGGGTCCTCAAATGCCAAGTTTGTTTCCATCTTAGGACCTTGGTGTTTGCTGCTGCCTCTGCCAGGAACACTCAGCCCACAGATCTTCACCTAGCCAGTTCCTTCCCATTCTTAGATTATTACCACCTCAAGGAGACCTCCCTGTTGAGAAACATTAAGTTTACCCTGCTCCCATGGAGGATACCTTTTAGTTTATAATTAGTGATAAGCACATAACAGCTGCCTACTTGGTAATTCTTGAGTTATGTGTAAATATAGAACACCTGTGTATTAATAAAAATCACCTGTGTAAGAGCAACTAAATACACGGATGAGAGCCTGCTCAGGGCCTTCAGTCCTGGAGAGCTGTCAGCCCCACAGGCTCTCAGGCTGTTGGTCCCCAGGATAGATCCACTCTGTTGTGCTATCTGGGTGTCTGCCTCTCAGATACCTTCAGCACCGCCTGGGTGGGGGTCTCCCGACTGAGCTGGTTCTCGGTACCTCCCTGCCACCCGAGGAAAAGTGGCCCTCTTCTTAAAAAGGTCTCTCTTTTATACATACCATTTTATTATTCTCATATTATTATCATATCTGGACCTATCTTACTTGTTTTTGTACTTTGTTTTTTTTTGAGATGGAGTCTTGCTCTGTTGCCCAGGCTGGAGTGTCATGGTGTGATCTTGGCTCACTGCAACCTCCACCTCCTGGGTTCAAGTGATTCTCCTGCCTCAGCCTGCTGAGTAGCTGGGATTACAGGCATGCACCACCTGGCCTCGCTAATTTTTGTATTTTTAGTAGAGACGGGGTTTCACTATGATGGTCAGGCTGATCTCAAACTCCTGACCTTGTGTCACCTGCCTCAGCCTCCCAAAGGGCTGGGATTACAGGTGTGAGCCACCACATCCAGCTGTTTTTGTCCTTTCTGTCTTCCTTCTACCCCCATGCCACCCAGGATATAAGCTCTGTGAAAGAGGAATAATTGTGGTTTTAAAAATATGTACATTCTCTGACACACCTCCCTTCAAAAAGTGGTGCCTAATTCTCCCCACTCCTCTCAAATGTGGGCTGGACTCATTTCTAATACATAGAATGTGGCAGAAGGGATGCCACATAACTCCTGAGGCTATGTCATAGAAAGGATAGCGTCAGTTTGACTCACTCCGGCTTGGATCATTTGCTCTGGGGGAAGCCAGCTGCCATGTTGGAAGGACACTCAAGCAGCCTTATGGAGACTCCTGCATGGAGAAGAAATAATTGCCAGGCCTGGGAGTGAGCACTTCAAAAGTAGATCTTTCAGACTATTTCAGCTCCCCTCCCCCCTGCCCCACCAACCTTCAGGTCTTCTGGCTGACACCCCAGACATCATAGAGCCAAGACAAACCATCCCCAATGCCCACTGTGTCTTGTCTGAATTCCTGATCCACAGAAATCATAAGATAATAAATGGTTATTCTTGTTTTAAGCCATTATGTTTGAGGGTAATTTGTTACATAACTAGATGCTATAGTTTGAATGTTTGTCCCCTCCAAATCTCATGTTCAAATTTGATCCTCAATGTTGGAGGTAAGGCCTAATGGGAGGTGTTTGGGTAAGTGAATTTTCATTCTGTTAGCTTGGTCCAAAAGTAATTAGGATTTTTGTCATTACTTTTGCACGAACCTAATGTCAGCACTGGTTGTTTTTTTGTTTGTTTTGTTTTGGAGATGGCATTTCACTCTATCACCCAGGCTGGATTGCAGTGGCACAATCTTGGCTCACTGCAACCTCTGCTTCCCAGTTTCAAGTGGTTCTCCCACCTCAGCCACTGGAGTAGCTGGGACTACAGGCATGTGCCACCATGCCCAACTAATTTTTATTTTTAGTAGAGATGAGGTTTCATCATGTTGGCCAGGCTGGTCTTGACTCCTGACCTCAGGTGATCCACCTGCCTTGGCCTCCCAAAGTGCTGGGATTACAGGTGTGAGCTACTGCACCCAGCCAGTGCTCGTTGTTAAAAAGAGCCTGGCACCTTCCTTCTCTCTCTTGCTTCGTCTCTTACTATGAATCTCTGCATAAATTGGCTCCACTTCATCTTCCATCATGTGCAGAAGCAACCTGACACTCTCACCAGAAGCCAAGCGTATGCTGGTGCCATGTTGCTTGCACAGCTTATGGAACTATGAGCAAATAAAGTAATTTTCAGCCAAACACGGTGGCTCACACTTGTAATCCCAGCTCTTTGGGAGGCTGAGACAGGTGGATCACTTGAGGTTCAGGAATTCAAGACCAGCCTGGCCAATATGGTGAGACCCTGTCTCTGCTAAAAATACAAAAATTAGCTGGGCATGGTGGTGCACGCCTGTAGTCCGAGCTACTCAGGAGGCCAAGGCAGGAGAATCACTTGAACCGGGGAGGTGGAGGTTGCAGTGAGCCAAGATCATGCTCCTGCACTCCAGCCTGGGCAACAGAATGAGACTCTGTCTCAAAACAACAACTATAACAACAAATTTTCTTTATAAACTTCCCAGCCTCAGTAAATGGACAGACACAAAACATGATGAACCTCATCTGTCTTCTTCACTGTTCCATCCTCGGCACCTAGAAACTGCACCTGACACATAGCAGGTGCTCAATTAGTATTTGTCAAGTGGAAAATAGCTTGGACTAGAACCAAGAAGCTTGAGCTAAGCATCTTTAAAGTCTGAGAGGAATGAAACATAAAGAGAAAGAAAGGAAGAAGGGGAAGGAATTCAGTCCACTCTGACATCCTGGGATTTCTTACTCAGAAGAACTCTGAAATGCCTCTCCCAGGAGAAAGGAAGGCAGCTGAACTCCAACCCCAAGACAAAGCAAAACAGACTCACTGATCTGCACCACGCAGCTGGCACCCGCCTCTGGCCCAACTACATGACTCGCAGCACACTTGAACTTCTTGCCATCTGACAGCTGGGACTTGTTCAGCATTTCCACCCCCAGCTTTGACTTCCCCACGATTACACCTCCCGGCTCTTCTATCCACAGGAAGTTAGGGTCAGGGTATCCCCCATCCCAGCGACAGGTGAGCTGCAGCATGAAGAATCCTGATGCCATCTGTGCCCGGCACTGGGGAGCTGATGGAGGGGGATCTGCAAAACACCAGAGGAAAGCATGGGCTCACTCACATGCTCTAGGATCAGCCACTGGCTGGCTCCACGACTGCAGAACCAGGGTCTCAGAGAGACATCAACCCCAGTTAGTGTAGCATCCAGTAGCTCCTAGCACAAATTCCTACCTGACAAAAGTCAGGTTTCCTCTGTTAGGTGTTAAATTTCTAGGGACCTGGGTCTCATTTGCCTTTGCATTTCTTTTGTTTATTTATTTATTTTTTGAGATGGAGTCTCACTCTGTCACCCAGGCTGGAGTGGCACAATGGCTCACTGCAACCTCTGCCTCCCAGGTTCAAATGATTCTCCTCCCTCAGCCTCCCAAGTAGCTGGGATTACAGGCATGTGCCACCACACCCAGCTAATTTTTGTATTTTTAGTAAAGACAGGGTTTCGTCATGTTGGTCAGGCTGCTCTCAAATGCCTGACTTTAGGTGATCCACCCACCTCGGCCTCCCAAAGTGCTGGGATTACAGGTGTGAGCCACCGCGCCTGGCCTTGCCTTGCCTTTGCATTTCATATTTATTTATTTACAGAGTTTCACTCTTGTTGTCCTGGCTGGAGCGCAATGGTGCAATCTCAGGTCACCACAACCTCTGCCTCCCAGGTTCAAGTGATTCTCCTGCCTCAGCCTCCTGAGTAGCTGGGATTACAGGCAGGCACCACCACACCCGGCTAATTTTGTACATTTTTAAGTAAAGACGGGGTTTCTCCATGTTGGTCAGGCTGGTCTCAAACTCCTAATCTCAGGTGATCCGCCCGCCTCAGCCTCCCAAAGTGCTGGGATTACAGGCATGAGCCACCGCACCTGGCCTTTATTTTATTTTTTTAATACACACAGGCTTCTGACATGTCAGCCAGGATGGTCTAGAACTCCTGGCCTCAAGTGATCCACCACCTTGGCCTCCCAAAGTGCTGAGATTACAGATGTAGTGGTTTTTGTCTAAGATATTTGTGTATGGGAGTGTTTGGTTAGTGTTTCCCTACCGTAAAGTGAAGATTCACAGACCACTGGTTCATAACAGTGCTAGAGGGCCTGACGCCTGTGATAGCCACACTGGGTCTACAAAAAGAATGTATACAGATGGATGAGTGAACAAATAAATCATGGTCCATCCGTGCAAGGAATGGACTGTTATTCCGCCATAAAAAGAAATGAGTTACTGATACATGGCTCAACATAGATGAACCTCAAAATCATGAGGCCAGGTGATAGGCCAGCTGTGATGGCTCACACCTATAATCTTAGCACTTTGGGAGGCCGAGGCAGGCAGATCACTTGAGAACAGGAGTTCAAAACCAGCCTGGCCAACATGGTAAAACCCTGTCTCTAAAAAAAAAAATACAAAAAAAATTATCTAGCCATGATGGCGGCCGCCTGTAATCCCAGCTACTCAGCAGGGTGATGCAGAATTGCTTCAACTTGGGAGGCAGAGGTTGCAGTGAGCCAAGATCACACCATTGTACTCCAGCCTGGGCAACAAAAACAAAACTCCATCTCAAAAACAAAACGAAACAAAAAATCATGAAGCCAGGTGAAAGAAGCCAGACACAAAAAGCCCCATGTATGATTCATTCATATGAAGTGTCCAGAACAGTCAAATTCACAGGGACAGAATGCAGATTGGGGGTTGTCCAGGTCTTAGGAAAAGAGGGAATGAGAGTGACTGCTTATGGGTACAGTCATTTTATCATTCCATTTGGGATGACAAAAATGTTTTGGAGGGCTGGGCATGGTGGCTCATGCCTGTAATCTCAGCACTTAAGGAGGCTGAGGCAAGCAGATCACTTGAGCTCAGGAGTTCGAGACCAGCCTGGCCAACATGGTGAAACCCCATCTCTACTAATAATACAAAGTTAGCTGGGCATGGTGGCACACACCTGTAATTCCAGCTACTTGGGAGGCTGAGGCAGGAGTATCACTTGAACCTGGAAGGCAGAGGTTGTGGTGAGCCAAGATCGTGACTTTGCACTCCAGCCTGAGCAACAAGAGTGAAACTCCCTCTCAAAAAAAAAAAAAGACAAACGGGAGAGGTGCAAACATGTAGGTCCTAAAGGATTCAGGGGAAGAAGTGGGCAGAGGAGCTGCTTACGCACAATAGACCAGGAGCTCGGTGGTCACCTTTCGATGTCTCCTGCTGAGCAGATTCAAGGCCAAACAGGTGTAGTTCCCTTGGAGGTTTGGGGACATCAGTAACAGTGAGAAAGAGTTGACTGTCAGGTTGTGGCCGAAAAACTCGCTGCTGGAATTCAGGGCCTGGAACCACCATTCAACCATGGGTGGCGGCCAGGAGCTGCTGTTGCAGCTGAATTCCACCTGGGAACCCTTGGCTGCGTAGAGGGTGCCGTTGGGGAGTGTGCTGGTGGCCGAGATGTGGACTTCAATCTGATAGGGGCCGCCTGGGAATGACAGGGGGAATGGGATGGCATTAATCATGTAAGAGTTCATTCAATTGCCTTACCAACTCCAACAGACATATAAGCTATTAAAGATCAGGAAACAGCCAATGAAGAGTACAGTATCTACCTAATACTACGTGACAAATGCTATGCCAAGTGCCCTGATACATCATTTCATTTAATCCTGGGCGACTATGTGAGATTTCACTAGGGGGATAAATACTTACAGAACAGGAAAAGTAATACATTGCTCCTTTAAAAAAAAGGCCGGGTGCTCACAGCTGTAATCCCAGCATTTTGGGAGGCCAAGGCGGGTGGTTCATGAGGTCAGGAGATCGAGAGCATCCTGGCCAACGTGGTGAAACCCCATCTCTACTAAAAATACAAAAATTAGCCGAGCATGGTGGTACCTGTCTATGGTCCCAGCTACTTGGGAGGCTGAGGCAGGAGAATTGTTTGAACCCATGAGGTGGAGGTTGCAGTCAGCCGGTATCACACCACTGTACTTCAGCCCGGGCGACAGAGCAAGACTCCATCTCAAAAAAAAAATCTGTAAATAAGTAAATAAATAAATAATACAAAAATTAGCTGGGTGTGGTGGCACATGCCTATAATCCCAGCTACTCATGAGACTGAGGCAGGAGAATCGCTTGAACCAGGGAGTCAGATGTTGCAGTAAGCCGAGATCACATCACTATACTCCAGCCTGGCAACAAAGAAAGACTCCATCTCAAAAAAAAAAAAAAAAAAAAAAGGCTGGGTGTGACAGCTCACGCCTGTAATCCCAGCACTTTGGGGAGACCAAGGTGGGTGGATCACCTGAGGTCAGGCATTCGAGACCAGCCTATGCAATATGGTAAACGCCATCTCTACTAAAATTACAAAAATTAGCCAGGCATAGTGGTCGCGCCTGTAGTCCCAGCTACTCAGGAGTCTGAGACAGGAGAATCGCCTGAACCTGAGAGACAGAGGTTGCAGTGAGCCAAGATCATGCCACTACACTGCAGCCTGGGCGACAGACCAAGACTCCATCTCAAAAAAAAAAAGAAAAAAACTGCAAGGGCTAGGCAGAGTAGCTCATGCCTGTAATTCCAGCACTTTGGGAGGCTGAGGTAGGAGGCTCACTTGAGGCCAAGAGTTCCAGACCAACCTGGAAAATATAGCAAGACCTCATGTCTACAAAAAAATTTAAAATTAGGGCTAGCATGGTGGCTTACACCTGAATTCCCAGCACTTTGGGAGGCCGAGGCAGGCAGATCACTTGAGGTCAGAAGTTTGAGACCCGCCTGGCCAACATGACGAAACCCTTTCTCTACTAAAAATACAAAATTAGTCAGGTGTGGTGGCACATGCCTGTAATCCCAGCTGAGATGGGAGAATCACTTGAACCGGGGAGGCAGCGATTGCAGTGAGCCGAGATCGTGCCACTGCACTCCAGCCTGGGGGATAGAGTGAGACTTCATCTCAAAATAAATAAATAACAGGGTGTGATATCACATGCCTATGGTCCCAGCTAATTGGGAGGCTGAGGTAGGAGGCTGGTTTGAGTCTGGAAGGTTGAGGCTGCAGCGAGCCAGGATCTTGCCCCTAAACTCCAGCCTGGGTGACAGAGGGAGACCTTGTCTCAAGATAAAACACTGCAGAATGGAAAGTATTTCTGTGCAGTGAAGAATTAACACAGCGGTCCTGGGACTACTCTCCTTAGAAAGACCTGCTTGCAAGGCTGGCCCTTGGCTGCTGTCTGGGAACTTGGATTTCAGGAGGATTCCCATCATTCCTAAAACTGAGAGGAGTGGCTTGCTGTGCCTAAACTATGCAAACAATGTGGTTTAAACTTGGCTGGGGCTCAGTGGCTCCTGCCTAGAATCCCAGCACTTTGGGAGGTTGAGATAAGTGGAGTTTGAGGTCAGGAGTACGAGACCAGCCTGCCCAACACGGTGAAACCCCATCTTTACTAAAAATACAAAAAATTAGCCAGGTGTGGTAGTGGATGCCTGTAATCCCAGCTACTTGGGAGACTGAGGCAGGAGAATCGCTTGAACCCCGGAGGCAGAGGTTGCGATGAGCCAAGATTGTGCTATTGCACTCCAGCCCGGGCAACAAGAGCAAAACTTTGTCTCCAAAGAAAAAAAATGTGGTTTAAATGGAACGTCTGCTTTCTGAGAGACAGGAATTTGTAAGTGCAAAGCAGAAAGCGCCTACATGATGAGCCCTGACAAAAAACCTTGAGCAAAGAAAAGTCTCGGATGAGTTTCCCTAGTAGACATTTGATGTGTGTCGCCACAACTCGTTTCTGGAAGTTGCATCGCGTGCAACTCTGCTAGCAGACTTGGAAGCTTGCACCTGGTTTCCCTGGGCTTCTTTCCATGCGCCTTTTCCCTTTACAGGTTTTGTTTTGTATCCTTTGCTGGATTAAATCATCCTACATGCTGAGTCTTATGAGTCCGCTTAGCAAATCGTCAAACTGTGGGGACCCCCAGCACAATATCATACTAACAAGCAAGAAATGGGGCCAGGCGCAGTGGCTCACCCCTGTAATCCCAGCACTTTGGAAGGCCGAGATGGGTGGGTCACCTAAGGTCGTGATGTTCAAGACCAGCCTGTCAAACACAGTAAAACCCCATCTCTACTAAAAATACAAAAATTAGGCCGGGCGCGGTGGCTCAAGCCTGTAATCCCAGCACTTTGGGAGGCCGAGGCGGGTGGATCACGAGGTCAACAGATCGAGACCATCCCGGTCAACATGGTTAAACCCCGTCTCTATTAAAAATACAAAAAATTAGCTGGGCATGGTGGCGCGTGCCTGTAATCCCAGCTACTCAGGAGGCTGAGGCAGGAGAATTGCCTGAACCCAGGAGGCGGAGGTTGCGGTGAGCCGAGATCGCGCCATTGCACTCCAGCCTGGGTAACAAGAGCGAAACTCCGTCTCAAAAAAAAAAAAAAAAAAAATACAAAAATTAGCCAGATGTGGTGGCATGCATGCCTGTAATCCCAGCTACTTGGGAGGCTGAGGCAAAAGAATCTCTTGAACCAGGAGGCAGAGACTGCAGTTACCTGAGATCATACCACTGCACTTCAGCCTGGGTAACAGAGTGAGACTCTCAAAAAAAGAAAGAAAGAAAAGGAAGAAATGAACTACTTGTCTGACTCTGGCCAAATGACCCTCCTCAGCCCCCGCTTCCTAGTCTATGAAAGGGAATGATGGCAGCTCCCACTTCCTGGGATTGCTGCAGTAAAGCACTGAGAACGGGGGCCATGCTGCAAACACCTGATGAACTGGCCTCATCTCAGTTCTCAGTTCTCTTCACAGTTCCTTTCTATTTTACTTTTTGAAATGGAGTTTTGCTCTTGCTTTCCCGGCTGGAGTGCAGTGGTGCTATCTCAGACCATTGTACCCTGCGCCTCCCAGGTTCAAGCGATTCTCCTGCCTCAGGCTCCCAAGTAGAGTACTTGGGACTCCAGGCATGTGCCACCACGCCCAGCTAATTTTTGTATTTTTAGTAGAGACAGGGTTTCACCATGTTGGCCAGGATGGTCTCGAACTCCTGACTTCAAATTATCCACCTACCTCAGCCTCCCAAAGTGCTGGGATTACAGGCTTGAGCCACCGCACCCGGCCAATTTTTGTATTTTTAGTAGAGACAGGGTTTCACCATGTTGGCCAGGATGGTCTCGAACTCCTGACTTCAAATTATCCACCTACCTCGGCCTCCCAAATTGCTGGGATTACAGGCCTGAGCCACCGCACCCAGCCTTCTCTTTACATTTCTGAACTTCCTTCTTGTCCCCTGAAATGCGCTCTGCTGTTGGTACCCAGTGCATTTAAGGTGCCACATACCCTTGAAGAAAAGAATGTATCCCCCCAAAATATATACCATTATTACTTGTCAATTCAAACATTTCTATTTTAGTTTTTGTTACTTTTTAAAATTATGCATTTATTAATTTGAGATAGAGTCTCCCTCTATCACCCAGGCTCGAGTGCAGTGACACAATCACAGCTCACTGTAGCCTCAAACTCCTAGGCTCAAGCAATCCTCCCACCTTAGCCTCTCGAGTAGCTGGGACTACAAGTGCACACAACCACACCAACTATTTATTTATTTATTTATTTTGAGACACAGTTTTACTCGTTGCCCAGGCTGGAGTACAATGGTGTGATCTTGGCTCACTGCAACCTCTCCCTTCCAGGTTCAAGCGATTTTCCTGCCTTAGCCTCCCAAGTAGCTGGGACTACAGGCATGCACCACCATGCCCAGCTAATTTTGTATTTTTAGTAGACGGGGTTTTCTCCATGTTGACCAGTCTGGTCTCAAACCCTCAACCTCAGGTAATCCACCCGCCTCAGCCTCCCAAAGTGCTAGGATTATAGGCGTGAGCCACCACATCCAGCCAATTTTTAAATTATAGAGACAGGATCTCACTATGTTGCCCTGGCTGGTCTCAAACCCCTGAGTTCAAGCAATCCTCCCGCCTCAGCCTCCCAAAGTGCTGGAATTACAGGTTTGAGCCACCGCACCTGGCCCAATAAAACATATTTTAAAAGACTATAATCCCAGCAGTCTCAGAGGCCGAGGTGGGGAGATCACTTAAGGCCAGGAGTTCGTGACCAGCCTGGCCAACAGGGTGAAACCCATCTCTACTAAAAATACAAAAAAAGTAGCCGGGCATGGTGGCACACGTCTATAGTACCAGCTACTTAGGAGGCTGAGGCAGGAGAATCACTTGAACCCGGGAGGCAGATGTTGCAGTGAGCCGAGATGGTGCCACTGCACTCCAGCCTGGGTGACAGAGCAAGAATCTGTCTCAAAAAAATATATATATGGCCGGGCGCGGTGGCTCACACCTGTAATCCCAGCACTTTGGGAGGCCGAGGTGGGTGGATTACAAGGTCAAGAGATTGAGACCATCCTGGTCAACGTGGTGAGACCCCGTCTCTACTGAAAATACAAAAATTAGCTGGGCATGGTGGCGCACACCTGTAGTCCCAGCTACTCAGG